TCTGTCAACCTGCCCCCTTCTCAGGAGCTTCCCTTTCCGTCCCGGGAGATAAAGTGTTTTTTCCCCTCCGCATTGATGGCCGCCCCATCTGCCAGGCTTGGCAAATTGCAGCCCAACTCTGAGTGGGGCTTCCGTCCAGGGAGTCGGGGGGGCAAGTCCCCCTTCCTCAGCCCCCACAAGGGAGGGAGCCCCAAGCGGGTGGGGGCGGCCTCCACGGCCTGGAGGAGCCTGGGTTCCAGGCGAAGCTGGCACTGGGATAAACCAGGGCTTTGGGGCTAGGGACCCCAAAGGTGACCCTCCAGGGCCCGGCCACAGCGCTGGGCAGGTCGGTGGGGGGGGGGTGCCGGGGTTGGCCTGACCACAAATGCCCACCCTGGGAGCTTCCAAGCAGGATCCAGTGCCCACCTTGACCCCAACCTGGCCAACAGCCCCAGCACAGAGGAGGTGAATGCTTCATGGAGGCTCCTGGTAGCTGGGACACACTGCACACTCATAGCAGAAGTGACTCAGGGGTCCCCCTAAGCTGACTCCCCAGTGGGTGGCCCCTTCTCTCTCCACTGCCCAGACTCAGTGCCCTGGGACGTTCACCGTGCCTGCAGCTAGCAGGCTGCTCAGCCAAGCCGAAGCCCGGAGCTTGGCGCCCTTGGGACCCCCACGTGCCCCATGACTGGCTCTCACCCCACCCAGCTGTCTCGTCTATAAAATGAGTCTTTCTCCCTCCATTAAAGAAAGAACAATACAGCGATACCCCCTGAAAGGCATCAGAATGGCCAAAATCAGACCCTAGGCAAGTAGCAAGTGCCAACAAGGGGGCGAGGCACCCAGAACCCCCCAGCACTCGGGGGGTGACCCCGGTGTCATGAGTCTCCTGGGACCAGCAATTCTCCCAGAGGCAGGCCCAGATATAGGCCCCCAGGAGAAATGCCAAAAGGCCGGCACAAGAATGTTCACAGCAACATGGCTGGTAACAGCCAAAGCCAGCAGTGTGCGCGCGGCTCTGCTCTCCCCGGGAACACAGGCTGCCCAGAGGACGAGCAGGCGGCCGCCACCAACCACACAGCAGCACCGAGCGTCCACAGACACGCCATGGAGTGGGAGAGGCCAGACACACGGGGGCACCGTGCAACACCATGTACTGAGAACTGTGGGAGTGGAGGCCAGGGCGCCTGGGCTGGGACGGGGGCATCTCCTGCAGGGCGCCAGTTTCCCATGCACGCTCACCCCCACGCACATCTCCACGGCGGTGCACACAGGCAAGCCGCCTCTGGGCGGGCGCCCGTCTGGGCAGGGTGGTGGCGGGCCTGTCCCAGCCCTTTGCACCCCTGCTAGGGCCCAGCTCTGTCCCCGTGTGAGGCAAATGCAGTCCGTCTGGGCTGCATGGAGCTGGTGCTCAGGGAGGGGGGTCGGGCCACAAGTGTGAGGGATCAGACTTGGTCCCCAGTGCCGTGGAAAGCCCTCAGTTGTGCTTAGGGAGGGAAGTCACACGACCCAAAGTCGCCCTTCACAAAGAACTGGGGTGCGGTCAGGGGTGCCCCGCAGGCTGAGGAGGAGGCCCCTGGGTCAGGAAGCATGTGGCCCGGACCAGAATGGGACAGCAGCAGGAGGGACGTGTTCTGGAGGCCAAGCCCATGGGGACCCAAAGACGGGGCAAAGGTGGTGTCCTGGGCCTCCGGCCTGAGCAGCGGTGGACCTGCAGCAGGAAGGCTGTCATGACTGCATGGACAGTCCCCAGCCAGTGGGGCACGGGAGGCAGCCAGGAGAAGGGACCAGGCATCCCCCAAGGCTCTCCCGCTGCTCGGGCCCCCCTGGGCTCCCCATCCAGGGCTCCCATTTCCCACTGGCTGACCCTGGACGAGCACGTTCCCCTGTGGGTCTCAGTTGCATTATCTGAAGGTAATTTCGTGAGTGCCGTGCACAGCGACTGGCACGGGGCGCTTCCAGGAGCCGCGCCGAGCAGGGGGCAGCCAGCAGTGAAGACCCCAGGCTCCCTATAAAACCTCTGGTTCCCTTTGGGACCCCCCCAACTCAGGTGTAGACGGCTGACCCGGCCCAGGGGTACCCAGCCCCCACTGGGGACAGGTCACTGGGCCAGGCACATCCCTTGGTGAAGGCTCAGCACATCTGGCGAGAAGCCGGACCCAGCCGTGGCCGACAGAGCCACCCTATCCTGAGGCCTGCGGCTGCTCTGGGGTAAACAGGAAGCCCCATCTCTCCCCTGCTCGTTGCTCTCCTCTCTCCTTCCTGCAGCCCAGCTCACAGGCCTCCTCGCCCGGTGCCCCTCTGCCTCAAGCCGCCTGACATGCCTACGCTGGCCTCTGCTGGGGGTCCGGTCTACCCTCTCCTGGGGCTGCAGAGACCCAAAGGTCAGTGGTGAGGGGTCCCGAGAGGGTCCCAGGAGGACCACAGAGGCCCTGGCGGAGTTCTGCCGCACCCCACTGCCTGACCAGCACGCTCAGGGAAGGTAAGGCAGCGAGACCGTTTTCCAATCAACTTCAGAATGTTCACGGACAGGCCGGGAGGCAGCTGCAACCATCCAGCCCTACTGACCATGGGGTGGATGGGGAAACTGAGGCCCAGAGCTTCCAGCAACAGAAAGCAAAGCTGGGACCAGTTTCCCCCAGCCTGGGACGCCATGCCGGAAGCCGGCCAGGTGCTAGGCCCAGGTCTCTGAGCGGCCCAGGTGTGGACAGCGGACTGCCGGGCCCACCCTGCCCTCAGGGGATGTAGGCCCAGGTCAGAGGCAGCACTGACTCCTTCCGAAGATGACTCCCCGCGGGCAGGCCCTGTGTTCCAGGACCCTAAACAGGGGCCATCGGGGGTGGGAGGAGGCGTTGCCTCTCGTGGGAGGGAGGGTGGTCCCGGCCTGCCCCAGGTGGAGCCCCCTTCCACCCATCCAGCACCCCAGGGTGGGCCCGTGGGGCAGAAAGCGTGCCTCACCCCTCTCAAGGCCCCCAGGACCTCCCTGGAGTCCAAGAAGGTGTCAGCTTCCATCTCTGTCCTCCACCTGTACCCCGCCCCCAGGCAGACCCTGAGGAGCTGAGCCCCCATTTAGGGCAGGACCCTAGCCCTCCTCCCGCACCTGCCCTGAGGCTCCAGGGGTCTGAGAGTGGAGAGCCCCGCGGGGTGTAAGTGACAAGTCAGGCGAAGCTGCTCGCCTGGCGCCCCGATCCAAAGCCCGCTTTCTGTGGATTGGTTCTCCGATCTCAGTTCGGGGAGGGGCTGGAGGCAGGGCAGAGCGGGTCAGGAGGGAAGCGCAGATCCGTGGGGGACCCACAGGGCTGGGCAGCAGGCGGAACCGGCGCCCCACCCTGGCTGGCACCCAGGGACCGGGGAGACCGGCTTTCTTCCTTCTCGCCTCTGTGCTCTGGGGCATCTTTCCAGAAAGTTCCCTAACATGCGCAAGCTTTAAAGGGGGCGCTGAGCCATTCTCTGTGCACATATTTGGCTCATTAGCTACTCCCGTGTCAGCCCACCCCCTGGCAGGGAAGGTAGGCATTCTCTGAGAAAAGAAAGCAGCTGTCTTGGTGCTGACCCCTTCCAGCCCTGCTCTGCCTCGCTGCTCACCTGGGGCAAGTCTCTTCCCTCTCCTGGGCCTCAGTTTCCCCATCCGTACACAAAAGAGGCTAGCTGCAGCTGGCCCTGATGTCTGCAGGGGCTTGGAGCCCATCTCTGGGTGTGGGTCTGGGTGGGGTGGGCAGAGGGGGCAGAGCTCCTGTGCCCGAGGCCCCCCAGCCCTGTGCCCGCGGCAGACCCTCCCCAAGCCGAGGGGCTGGGGAGGAGGCTGGTCCTTCTTGCTCTCAGCATTCCCGTGGGGGATTTTCCGAGCTGCTCCCCCTTCCACCCTCTTGGCCAGGACACTGAGCTGGGTGGGGCCGGAGGGAGGTAAGGGCGAGCAGAGGGTGTTCCCAGCTGTGGGTGGGCAGGGGCTGACCCCAGAGCAGGGCGCGAACCCCCAGGACAACCAGCAATGGTTTAGCGTGGCCCTGCCTGACCAGGGACCCTTGGCCAGCAGTGTGGTCCGGCTGCATCCCCAGCAGCTGCCCGGCTCCCCTTGGGCCCCACCTACCCACGATCACAGCTACTGATGCCCAGCCTGTGGGTCCCCGGCACTGCCTAAATGAGGAAACCGGGAGTCAGTCCAGGGGCTGGGGGTGAACCACGGGGCCAAATGAAGGAAGCACCCCCTGTGGCCACCCAAAGGTCCCTGCACTCCTCCCAACTCCCACCCCAGCCCTGGCACCCCTCAGCCTGCTGGTGGCCGAGGGAGGAGAGAGGGCCTGAGGACGCGCTCTGCCTGCCCCCCAGGAGAGAAGCCCTGCGGGCGCACCTCCGGGAACAGGGGGCTCAACGCCCCCCTGGGGTAGCCGCTTCGTGGAGAAGGCCTTAGTCTCTGGGCTGACAACCGCCCCTCCCTGTCACCCCTTCCTCCCGAGCCACTCTGGGCCCCAGGGACACGTGCGGCAGGCTGTGCTCTGACCACTAGCCTGTCTTGCCCATCCCCAGGTCTCTTCTGGCTGGGTGCCCCCTCCCAGGGCGGGGGTCCCTCCAGATTCCCACGCTGGGCATATACATCTGGGGGTGCAGGTGCCGGCCATGGGGGAGAGTCCAGGGTCACAGAACAAACAGTCCCTCCTGTGGAGCTCCAGTAACATGGCCAAGGGGCCCAGCAGGTGGCTTCCCAGGGTGCCACGTCCTCCGTCACACGCTGAGACCAGTAGGTCCCAGGGTCGCCAGCCGGGCCTGTGCCTGGTCTCTGGCTGCTTTGGAGTTAGACTCTGAAATCCCAGGGGACCGCTCCCCCACCCCTGCCCACAGCTCGGCCAGGCCACCCCCTTGATGGCCCCCGCCCGTCCCTGGGCCTCCTGTTTGTTCGCTGACAGCTCCCTGTTATCAGCGAGGAACACACACAGGAAGTCCGGCCGGGAAGGGCCCATCCCAATCCTGATTTACACGGGATGGAGCATAAAAAGCCGCCCTTCCTCGCCCCGGGAGGAGCCTCCCTGCCCTGAGCCGGCTGTCCCACACAGCCCAGCTGGAAGCTCCAGTGGTCAGGCCAGGCAGGCGGCCTCCGGAGGCGCCTTGGGGTGGCCGGAGACGGGGAGGATCCACCTCTGGGCTGAGCGGGCCACGATGGGGGCCGTGGCCAGGCCCGGGCCCGGGCCGTATCAGGTATGGCAGGGGTGGCCTTGGGGGCCAGGGAGCGGGCCGAGCAGGGCGGGCACCCCCTTGGCTCCCACCGACCCTCGGACCGCAGCACGTGTCCCCTGCGTGCGCCCCCTCTGCACCCTGCTCTCCGGGCACCAACTCGTTCTTCTCCCTAATGGTGCCATCCCCACTGCGTGGAGGACCCTCGGGCCCCTTGGCCAAGGGCGCCTGCTGCGGATGGCCCAGTCTAGACCAACCCTGGCCTGCCCGACGGGGGCACTCAGCCCTGGGTGGCCCCGCAGCTGCTGTGGCCCCTGAGAGGAGAAGCCGGATGCAGCCTGTGGCCTTCCTCTCCACACGACCTCCTGGCTGACTCTGCCGTCCTGGAGGGGCCCCCAAGGTTGGCCGGGCTCTCCGCTCAGAGCCGGGCGTCCCAGGGCCATCCCCCAAGGGTGGGCAAGCACTCCCAACGTGGGTCTGGGAGGGGAGGCAGAGGGAGCTTCACGCAGAGGAAGCCCAAAGCCAACTCTGCAGCCAGGATGAGCCGTGCTCCTTGGGCGCACAGCACACGGGACCAGGGGAGCCCCCCACTTCCTGCTGGGCTGGCTTCGGGGGCATGAGTGGGGTCCTCAGGCAGAGGGACAGCCCACCTCAGACCCTGGGAGAGCCCCTGCTCCCCCTCTCCCCCCGCCGCCCAGAGTGCTCGAGTCCCCCCCCAAAGACCCCCCAGCCCAAGTGGAGGCCTCTTCGGCTTCTGCCGCTCCTGTGGTCCCACGGCCACCGCAGCGGTCTGTCTGGGGAAGCCCCGTGGCTCAGATGGAGAAGCAGAACATGAGGCCTCAGCCCGGGGTTAGCAGCAGAGTGAGGACCAGAGACCCAGCCAGGCTGCAGGGCTCAGAGGGTCAGGGACAGGATGGGGCAGGGGTCTGAGTGGGGAAGGTCTCCCCTAGGACTGGCTCTTAACTTTCACTGCGTGGGTCTGAGCGAGGGCTGCCCCGCTCGGGTTTGGGGGCCAGGGGACCTGAAGTCCTTCAGTGGCAGGACCCTGCTCTCATGACTGCAGGTGTCCCAGCCACAGCCACCCCAGCTGCCCTCAGACCATCTGCGGGGGACTTCCAGGGCCCTCTCATTCTGGGGGCTTCTGTCCAGCCATCTGGGTCCCCTCCCTTCCTTTAGCTCCCACGCCCCAAAGTGGGCCCTAGCCTGACAGCCCACAGCTACTGGCTCTGCAAGAAGCCTTCCCCTTCCCCCAAAAAGGACCCTTACCCAGCACCCTGGGCTTTGCAGACCTTCAGCATCATGGCCAGCAGCCTGTCCATCCCCATCTCCTGGGACCCAAGCAGGTGTGTCTCTCCCTCGAGGCTGAGGGTGTGAGCCACAGGCAGAATAGGGGAAGACCCATTTGGCTTCGGCCATCATGGGGCTGGAGGCCTGTTACACCACGCGCAGGCTGAGGCCCCCACAGGGGCATGGAGCCTGGCCCCCTTCCCAGCCCCTGGACATCAGGGTGACCAAGGCAGCAAGCTAACCCACACTACGTCTCTGACCTGCAGACTCCGGCACAAGAGAAGTGCAGGGAGCCCCCGCCAGCCAGAAGAGCAGCGGCCACCGCTGTCCAGGGGATGACAGAGGCCCCTTCTCCAGGTGAGTCCCACAGCAAGCTTCAGATGCTCGGCACGAGCAGGGGGTCTGCCTGGGCCTGGAAATGTTCTACACACACATGCACTTAGGTGACCGGGGACCAGGCTCCACTGAGGGGGGCAGGCCCCGCACCTCGCACATGATGAGGGCCGTGATAATCATGGTGTGGATGTGACCGAAATAATACTAGAGGCCCCGGGTGGGGCGTGCCTGCACCTGGTTCCCACCACCCCCCTTGGTGGGCTGTCACGAGGGGCTGCTTTAGTCCGGGTGACAAATGCAGAAATGGAGCCCAGGAGTCCCCGGTGGTGACCACAGGGCTAGAGGGACTCCCCGAGGGCCTAAGGGACACCCAGCGGTGGTCCTGACTGTCCTGAACGAAGGGGGGTGCCCAGTGGGAGTCCCGCAGAGTCCCTAAGCGGGCATACTGGTTGGGAGGTCGCACCTAGGATCCAGCCAGGCTCTGCCATGTCACAGCTCTGTGTGATCTCGTGTAAATACGGGGTGCCCGAGCCTTGGGGGTCATTATGTTCACCCTACGGTGACGGCAAGGTAGTGGTCAGCTAGAGCCCCTGGTGCCCAGTGAGCTGGCCACCCCGTGGTGATGGCCATCCGCAGGGTTTGGTGCTCAGCCTGGGAGGTCGAGGACCCGCCCCCCTTCCCCCGGCGAGAGCGGGCTCCCCACGCGGCCTCCGGGCACCTGACCCGCGTCCCAGTCCTGCGGCGTCCTGCTGCGGGGCCTCGGAGAGGGCTCAGGAGGGGCGGCGCGCTCAGGCGGGCGCGCGTCTGGAGTCCTGGGCTCGGGCTGACGGACTGCCCTGCCCACGGGGCGCCGTCCGCCGCGGGCCTCAGTGTCCCCATCTGCGCAATGGGGGCGGGCGGGGGGGGGGCTCAGAGCCCACCCGGGGCGGGCCGGGCCGGGG